AAAGAGAAATGTAAATTAAAACAATGAGATACCACTACACACCTATTAGAATGGCCACTAGCTGGAACACTAACACCACCAAATGCTAGTAAGGATGCGGAGCAACAGGAACTCTCACTCACTGCTGGTGAGAATACAAAATGAGACAGCCACTTTGGAAGACAGTTTGGCAGATCCTAGCAAAACTAAAAATATGTTTACCATTTGATCTAGTAGTCATACTCTTTGGTATTTACTCAAGGGAGTTAAAAACTTATGTTTACCCAAAAACGTGCACATAGATGATTACAACAGCTTTATTCATAATTACCAAAACTTGGAAGCAACCAAAATATCCTTAAGTACATGACTAGATTAATAAACTGTAGTACATCCAGACAATGAAATATTATTGTGCTTAAAAAAAAAAGTGAGCTATCAGTGCATAAAAAGACATGGAGAAACCTTAAATGCAAATTACTAAAGTGACAGATGCCAATCTGAAAAGGCTACTACATAATGTATGATTCCAACTGTATGACATTCTAGAAAAGGCAAAGCTAGGCAGACGATGAAAAGATCTGTGGTTTCGGGGCCGGCCCGGTGGCGCACTGCTACAGTGTGCTGCTTGGGAGCGTGGCGACGCTCCCGCCGAGGGTTCGGATCCCACATACAGACCGGCCGCTCACTGGCTAAGCGAGGTGCGGGCGCAACACCGAGGGGTGCAATCCCGTTGCCGGTCCCGGTCCGGTACGGGCGCGACACTGAGGGTTGCGATCCGTTGCCGGTCATGAAAAAAGACAAAAAGGAAAAAAAAAAAAGATCTGTGGTTTCCAGGGGCTGGGGGGAGAGGAGGGATGAACAGGTGAAACACAGAGCATTTTTAGAGCAGTGAAAATACTCTGTATGATACTATAATCATGGATATGTGTTATTATACCTTTGTTCAAACCCACAGAATGTACATCAAGAGTGAACCCTAATGTAAACCATGGACTTTGGGTGATAACATTTCAATGCAAGTTCTTCAGTTGTAACCGGTGTACCATTCTGGTGGAAGATGTTGATAATGGGGGAGGCTATGCATGTGTGGGGGGAGGACGTATACTTGTATAGGAAATCTCTGGACCTTCCTCTTAATTCTTCTCTGAACCTAACACTGCTCTAAGAAAAAGTCTTTAAAAAAAGATCCATGAGTATTCAAAGAATTGAAAGCAGAGTCTCAAAGAGACAGATATTTGTATACCCATGTTCAAAGCAGCATTATTCACAACAGCTAAAATATGGCAGCAACCCAATGTCCATCACAGATGAATGGATAAACAAAATGTGGTATATACATACAACGGAATATTATTCAATTTTTTTTTTTTTCCTTTTTTTTTGTTTTTTTACTGGCTGGTACGGGATCGCAACCCTCGGTGTCGTGCCCGTACCGGGGACCGGCAACAGGATCGCAACCCTCGGTGCTGCGCCCGCGCCACGCTCAGCCAGCGAGTGGGAACCGGTCACCACATGGGATCCGAACCCTCGGCGGGAGCGCCGCCACGCTCCCAAGCGGCGCACCCTCCAGTGCGCCACTGGGCTGGCCCATATTATTCAATTTTTAAAAGGAAATCCTGACACATGCTACAACATGATGAACCTTGATGACATTATGCTAAGTGAAATAAGCCAGACACAAAAAGAAAAATACTGTATTATTCCACTTATATGAAGTACCTAGAGTAGTTAAAATCAGAGACAGAAAGTAGCACAATGGTTATCAGAGGCTAGGGGGAAGGAGGAATCAGTAGTTACTGTTTGTTGGGTATAGAGCTTGTGCCTATAAACATTCTGGAAGAGGAAAATACAGAAGAAACTAAACTAAGTTGTTATGGGGGGTTGGGGACTGGGAGCACGGGGAAAGAATGGGAGCATGACTTCACTGTGTACTCCTTTCTAGGTTTTGAAACTTGTGAATAAATGACCTGTTCAAAAATCTTAAACAACAAAACACCCCTGAATACCACATCCCTATCAAGCTACCACGTCTACTGTCTGCCTCCTTTATAACATACTTCTAGATACTATTTATTTCTACAGGTCCCATTCATTTTGCAATCCACCACAATCTAGTGTTCAGCCCTTAGGGCCATGGAAAGTGCTTGTTGTCCAGCTAATCAATCACCTTCACTCTACAAATCTAACATGCACTTTTCCAATCTCATCTTACAAGAATTCCCATATGCTTGATTCCTCCCTCCTGGAAACAGGAACTCCTCTGGGCTTGTGCTGCCACCTTCTCTTGGTTTCCTTCTTTCTCAATTGACTGTCATGGCTCCTCCTCTCTGTGCCAGACTTCTGTAACCTGGCAGGACCTCACAGCTCAGTCCTGAGGCTTCTTCTCTTTGCAACCTACATTCTCTTCCTAGAAGAGCAAATCCGGTCCATTACTTTAGATATCACCTACAAACTTAAAACTCCCAAATGAGCACATCTCCAGCTTGCTGTCTTTGCTGGGGTCCAGAACTGCCTACATGACATTCCAAACCTACCCAGCCAGACAGAATGCCCAGTCCTCCCCAGTCTTGCCTATATTAGTACATGGTACCACCATCAACTCAGCTGCTTAACCAAAACCCAACATGTCAGCTTTCATTCCTCCACTACCCTCACCCCATCACTCGCACATCCAAACCATAGCATCATCAAGTCCCGTCAGTTCATCTTACAAGCATATCTTAAATCTCCCCCTTCTTTTCATCGTTTTATCAACACCCTGTCCAAGCCACTATTTTAGTTTGCTTGAACTACTGCAACGGATCTCCTAATTGGTCTTGCTGCTTCCATTTTTGACCCTCCTATAATTTATTCTCCCCCCAGAAGCAAAATCATTTTCTGTTCAATGTTCCGTCAGTCCCCAGGGAGAGGGTGGGCAGTGTTTATAAAAAGCTTTGAGTGGCCACCTGATACTTTCATTGTAAAATCTAAACGTGACTGTGGGCTACAAAACCCTGCATGACCTGGCTCTGCAATCTCTATATCACAGTCTCGGTCCCCTACTTGCTAGACTCCAACCACAATAACCTCTCTCGGTCTCTAGTACTTTCTCACTATATGGCCTTTGCACCCACTGTTTCCACTGCTCCTTCCCTCTGATCTAACTCCATCTGGTCCTTCATGTCTCAGCTTAAATATTATTTCCTCAGAGAACTTCTCTAAATGCCTCCTCTAAAATAGCCTTTACCCACCTACTCTACCACACCACCTGCCTTACTGTCTCCAGAACACTCATCACCATCAGCAATTACCTTATTTGTTTGTATTTATAATCTGTTTTGCTAACTAGAACTTACTCTTCTTGAGAGCAGAATTCTTGTCTACCTTGTTGACATTACAGGTGCTATGCTCAGCACGGTGCCTGTCACAGCAATAGGCTTTCAGTACAAATTTGTTTGTAAATAAAGATTAATGAATAGATGAACAAATGAACCAAAGACATTCGGAATAGTAGCCAGGCTTATCCAGGTCAGCCAGAGGTCCTCATCTAAGCAGGACTAAAGAGGTTTGTATTTTAAGACTTCTGAATTTATTCTAACAATGAACTCTAGATTTAAAAAATGCTGAAACATGTTTCTCCAGCATTGTAGAATAAAAACACGCACCTCTGGAAAAATATAAAGAAATTTGAAGTATTTGAACAATATCCTCGATCCAGCAGCACGCGTGCACACACACACACACACACTTTCTCCAGCATTGTAGAATAAAAACACGCACCTCTGGAAAAATATAAAGAAATTTGAAGTATGAAATTTGAAGTATTTGAACAATATCCTCGATCCAGCAGCACGCGTGCACACACACACACACACTCACACACACTTATTTGGGGCAGGATGGGGAAAAGGGCGGGGACAGGGAACAAAAAAACAAATTTGGTAGGCCTCATACAAATTTTTTAAAAAGGCACATCATTCACTCCAGTCAGTAACTCCCCCAAAAATATTTTGGCTAAAATCAAGGAGAGGCCGAAGGTAAGCCTATATCATAATAGTGAACCTAGTACTGCTCAGAAAAGGTTAGATTATCTGCCACAGAGGTAAAATGAAAGCTGGCTTCCAAACT